GGTTGGAGAACGGGCCGTTCCGGAAGGAGAATGGGCCGTTCCGAAGGGAGGACGGGCCGTTCCAGATGAGTCCCGGAACGGGCCGTTTTGTTTTCAGAACGGGCCGTTTTGGGCGTGGATTTTGTGTGTGAATTGGGAGTTCGGAACGGGCCGTTCCAAACTCGGTACGGGCTCGGGTCGTTACAGCATTGACACTGTTTTAGTGATTTTTCTAGCTTATGAAAACATGTTTGTTATAAATAAAAGAATAATTTCCCAGTTGATCCACCAAGATCATTATAAAGCAGTGTAGTAAATATTAAACAGTTTGTGTGAGTTGGAGGAAATCTAGCGGATCTCTACCTTCATAAGTAGAAATCATGCATCAATCATGCGGAAAGAAGTCATAATTTAAGATACTTAATTATATAAATAAAAGTCTGAGTGACAAATTATGTAATAATATATTATACTTAATGTTATATTACCATATTGCCAAATTTTATGACATTGTTTTATGTTAAAACCTCTCATAGGCATGGACATGGACAATGAACAAAATTTAACTAAAGAAGCTGCTGCTAAAACACGTTTGAAAAGAAAAAAATGTGCTACGCGAAAAGACTGCAAATATATCAATTAGAGTTGAAACTAAACAGCTGTGTTCTAAACAAAGATCAAGAAACAATACTCCACTTTCTGAGATTAGTTTCAACATACGATATGGAACTTTTCCAAAGATTATATAATAAACCACTTCAGATGTTAGGTGAATTCTGAAGTACTCCTCTAAGTATTCTATTTTCTATGGGAGCAAGGCCGAGTCATACCGATGGATAAAGTGGCCATGATCACAAGTGTTACGTGACGACGTAACCTAACTGTATAATTTCCATGAGAGTTGAGGTGTGTGACATGGGCAGGTGACATGTTCACAAATTCAACACTTGGTTTGGATGTGTTGAGGCCAACATTTGGTTTGGATGTGTTGGCTACTTCATGGGATTATACAGTGGTGTGACTTTGGTTTGGATGTGGAATATGTATGCATTTGGTATGGATTGTATACATTGGTTATAGATTCTTTATTATCATAGAATATGTATGCATTGGCATGGATATGTATACATTGAATTTTGGATTGGTTTATATTTGGCATGGAAATGACTTGTTATAATGTTTTCATTCCCTTGGTATGGATACACACTGTTGATGAATATCTAGTTTAATGATATTTCATTATGTTGTACTATGGTTGGTTTTATATGTGCTAACCCTTATATTTCCATGATGTTGACTGTGATGATCTCACTATGTGAGGGAGCAGATCAGGTGTGAGACTTTGGGATGGCAAGGAGTCTTTTTGGGTAGTTGTTTTGAGAAGTGGCTAGACTTAGAGCTTGACCAGCACCTAGGGTGTCTTATTTTGATACTTTCATGATGTTGTAATTATATTATTTTTTGGATGACTGTATAACCTTACTAATGGTAACTCTTTATAAAATTATGTTTTATCTGATGAAAACAATTTATACGTTATTTTATATTTACACTCTAGTGTAGCTGGCGTTTGCTCTTTATTTTCTTTATTATATATTATTCTTATGTGTCGTTCAATTGTTTGTTGATGTGGCGACCTAAGGCGGGTCGTTACAGCATTGACACTGTTTTAGTGATTTTTCTAGCTTATGAAAACATGTTTGTTATAAATAAAAGAATAATTTCCCAGTTGATCCACCAAGATCATTATAAAGCAGTGTAGTAAATATTAAACAGTTTGTGTGAGTTGGAGGAAATCTAGCGGATCTCTACCTTCATAAGTAGAAATCATGCATCAATCATGCGGAAAGAAGTCATCATTGCGATTCCACTAAGTGTAGAGACCGTGGCGGGTCATTACAATGATTTTCGAAATTAATTAATTTGAGTTTATTTTCTAGTTGCTTCCAACAAAAGGCCAATCCAAAATCCAACATCCTTCAACGTTTTTGCCTTGCAAAGTAGAAAATTCCATTGGAAAACAAATATCTATACTCTCTGTATAAGTTATCTAGATAGCTTAATAAATCACTTTTCTCATTTTCTCGGCTCCAACCAATTTTACTATCAATATTTCCGATTCTTTGTATGTTTAACATATAATTTATATATATCTTTAAAAATATTTATTTATTAGGAGTTTTACAATAACATATTTATATATTAAAAATATTCATTTATTTTGAATTTTAATTATATAAAAATATTTATTATGTATGATACACAAACTAAAATACTAATTACTTTCTACATATATATAAAATATAAATTTATATATATTTTTAATTTCTTAAATTTAGGATTTTTTTCTTCTTAAAGTTAAAATTTGTGAATTTTAGTCTCTATAATTTCAAAAAAATTTACTTTGTTTACTCAAAATTAAAAACTTGTATTTTTAATCCAAAAAACAAAAAAAAATTATTTTAATCTTTTTCGATTATCACTATCGGTTATAATATTAATGATT